AATCGAATTTTAAAATAAAATTGAGAATTGAAACGAGGAATGCGTCATAGAGACAACAACAAGACCAACGAACAGAAACAGCTTAAGGCCACCAATGGGTCTTTAACACAGCCAGTACATTACACACCCATGAGCGGGCTTCAGCTGGCCCTTAAACAACGATTGAATTATATAAAAAAAACAGTTCGTTCGAACCGTTATATTTGTATAATTTTAGGATCGAAAGGAGACAAAGGAGACAGAGGTAAGTAAAACAAAGTACATGTAAACTGTATAATTATAGGTATATTAAAACCCTCAACATTCATAAATTGCAAACATAACGTTTGATACAGATATTTGGTCAACGACTTACACAATGTGTCATTGTCATATTCCTAGCTAGATCAAAATAAATGAATCGGTTGCAGTTGGAGTAGTATCAGGTTATTTCAAGAATCTTCACACATTCTTCTAGTATTCTGTTGAATTATAACTTCATATAGTTATTGTATGTACGGATATCGTAATTATCATCTGTTAACTTGTTACTTCATATAAGCATGGTATGTAAAGCCATCAAAAATATCAACTGTTAACTTGTAACTTCATACAATCATAGTATGTAAAGGCATATCGTAAATATCAACAGTTAACTTGTTACTTCATACGATCATGGTATGTAAAGGATATCGTAAATTCAACTGTTAACTTGTTACTCCATACAATGATTGTATGTAAAGGCATCGTAAATATCAACTATTAACTTGGTACTTCATATAATCATGGTATGTAAAGGCATCGTAAATATCAACTGTTAAACCGTTACTTCATATAATCATGGTATGTTAGGATATCGTAAATATAAACTGTTAACTTGTTACTTCATACAAGCATGGTATGTAAAGGCATCGTAAATATCAACTCTTAACTTGTTACATCATATAACCATGGTATGTAAAGGCATCGTAAATATCAACTGTTAACTTGTAACTTCATATAATCATGGTATGTAAAGGTATCGCAAATATCAACTCTTACCTTGTTACTTCATACAATCATGGTATGTAAAGGCATCGTAAATATCAACTCTTAACTTGTTACATCATATAACCATGGTATGTAAAGGCATCGTAAATATCAACTGTTAACTTGTTACTTCATATAATCATGGTATGTAAAGGCATCGTATATATCAACTGTTTACTTGTTACTATATATAATCATGGTATGTAAAGGCATCGTAAATATCAACTCTTAACTTGTTACATCATATAATCATGGTATGTAAAGGCATCGTAAATATCAACTATTTACTTGTTACTTTATATAATCATGGTATGTAAAGGTATCGTAAATATCAACTCTTACCTTGTTACTTCATACCATCATGGTATGTAAAGGCATCGTAAATATCAACTGTTAACTTGTTACTTCATACAATCATGGTATGTAAAGGATATCGTAAATATCAACTGTTTACTTGTTACGTCATATAATCATGGTATGTAAAGGCATCGTAAATAGCAACTGTTAACTTGTTACTTTATATAATCATGGTATGTAAAGGCATCGTAAATATCAACTGTTTATAAAACCTCAATATTATAACAAATCATCAAAACACAAGAAGGTCACATATCAGTTTCGTGAACAATGGACAAATTTATTATAATATAATCATTTAATGCTCTTTTCTCTATTTCAGGTTTTGCAGGATCACCTGGTAATTTTCATTTCTTATTTACGTGTACATGTGTTTTGTCAATTGTCACCTCAAGATTTTATACAATACGAAAAAACATAAATAGCAAACGCATATGTTATCTTCCATTAGTGACGTCCATTTTACAAAATGTATATAATCGTAATTTAGTTTGTTGTTGACGATGAAACTTGGTTAAAATTTAATAATCACAATTTGATCAGCTAACGTCTTCACCGAAAATAACTCGAATTTTTTTAGAATGTGATATAATTGTCGGTCGCCAGTTATAATCAAAGCTGAATAAACACCGCACAAACTGTGCCACCTACAGTACTGTAAGTTTAGTTCAAGTCAAATATTTAACATAATCCAAGTGGGGCGTTCATGGAAAATTGCAGCCTTTTTTCATATAACGCCTTTGTATTCATCCCTATAACGCAAACGAGACATAAGTAACTCTACCTTAAGCATTCCTAAATTTATACATATCCAGACAGTGGTTAACATAATTCATAAGGAACGAAACTGCAACAAGTTTGAATCATTTTTCTATTTCATAAAACTATTGATCTCAAATTGTTGCTATTTTCAACATGTAACTTCATATACTGATGGTATCTAGAGACATATCGTAAAAATCAACTATTAACAGCTTACTTCATATACTCATAGTATGTGAACGAATCGAAAATATCATCTATTTACTGTTTATATCCTATACTCATAGTATGTAAACGAATCGAAAATATCATACATTATAACATATGATAATGTCACAGCAAACAGTTTCTATAATATTAACATATCCTAAAATATACATTTTCATTAACAGGACGAGACGGCAAAGACGGACAGGATGGTAAGTTCGTTATCAAAATACCATATCGTTTTGTTTGAACACATTGCAAATTTACGCTGTGACTACAATTAAAGAAAAAGATCTTACATCCAAACTTAACTAAATTATAATTTTGACGTTTTGCAATAATGATGGTTTTAGCTGATAGAGAACATGTATGTATCTGTTTTGATACAGATATATTGTTTAATTATTAGATATGTTATTTAATGTGTTTAATATCGGAATTCCAATGGGGACTAACTGTGCACCACTTATTGCGGACCTTTTTTGTATTGCTATGAGTTACAATTTATGACAAAAATCAGCAAAGACCCATCGAAACAACATCTGATACACAAATTTAATAATACTTTTAGATATTTGGATGATATTTTGGCTCTCAATAATGACGACTTCAGTATGTATACTAAAGAAATTTATCCTGTTGAACTTACTTTAAATAAAGCTAATACAAACAATGACCACTGCCCTTTCCTCGATCTTGATATCTATATCATTAACGGAAAGCTTAATACTAAAATATATGATAAAAGAGATGATTTTTCATTTCCTATCGTTAATTATCCATTTTTAGATGGTGACGTTCCCTTGTCACCATCTTACGGTGTTTATATATCTCAACTTGTACGATTCGCTCGTGTATGTAACAATGTTTTAGATTTTAACGAGAGAAATTTATGTATTACTGAAAAATTATTACACCAGGGTTTTCGATATCACAAACTAGTCAAAACATTCACTAAATTTTATCATCGGTATAAGGACATCATTCGTAAATATAGCTCAACATGCAGACTTCTTATACGTTCAGGTATTTCACATCCAATTTTTTATGGAAATATTCTTTATAAAGCACAAAAATGTCAGTATTCACCTCTGAAGCTAACAAAACCTTTAAATAGACTTAATAAGAAGGGATATAGTTACGATACTGTTGTCAGGTCATTAATTATTGCATATTTTGGCGTTAATATTGATTCACTTATAGGGTCTTTGCATCGGCAATAAACACATTTATTTAAAAAACCAGTTGTTGGCATGACACGGGTTATGTTCTTCTCATATATGTTATGATGGTATGATACTAAACCCCTAACGGGAAAGATTGTGCCTGATATTCATATGATGAAGACAAAATCTTTCAATCAGTTTAATTGAAGTCTGGAGCTGGCATGTCAGTTAACTGCTAGTAGTCTGTTGTTATTTATGTATTATTGTCATTTTGTTTATTTTCTTTGGTTACATCTTCTGACATCAGACTCGGACTTCTCTTGAACTGAATTTTAATGTGCGTATTGTTATGCGTTTACTTTTCTACATTGGCTAGAGGTATAGGGGGAGGGTTGAGATCTCATAAACATGTTTAACCCCGCCGTATTTTTGCGCCTGTCCCAAGTCAGGAGCCTCTAGCCTTTGTCAGTCTTGTATTATTATTTTTAATTTTAGTTTCTTGTGTACAATTTGGAGTTTAGTATGGCGTTCATTATCACTGAACTAGTATATATATTTGTTTAGGGGCCAGTTGAAGGACGCCTCCGGGTGCGGGAATTTCTCGCTGCATTGAAGACCTGTTGGTGACCTTCTGCTGTTGTCTGTTCTATGGTCGGGTTGTTGTCTCTTTGACACATTCCCCATTTCCATTCTCAATTTTATTAAGTGCGATTACTATATAGAGAAAATAACATGTTATGAATTTGCAGACCACCAGCAGTGATATTAACACTGTCTTACAAAAACCGAAAGCTTACTTCATTTTGGATCGATCATGAAGCTTTTTATCTGAATGATTATAAACAAAAGTGAACCAATCTAAAACGGTATAACCCACTAATGTACAGACAATATAACCTGTACTTTTTGTGCTTTTTGCTTTTTGCTTTGTGTTTTGTATCGATATGATGCGTCAGGCCCGTCTCAACTGATTGTTAACAATTTGAACCTATGTTAAGCTGTTACACACCATCCCATGTAAGGAAAGGATAGGGCGTTCACCCGTCACATTAAATAAATGTAACTATTCCAAGTCATGAACTGCTTATTCAGTAGTAGTCGTGTCTAACTGTATATATATTATTGATTTTTCGGTTATTGATTTGTATAAAGCTGTTGGTTATGTTGTTTGTATTGTTTGACATTTTGTCATGCCTTTTATTTCTTGCGATTTTGTATTAGTTTTACTCTTTCAAAATGCTATATGGTGATCTATAATTGCTAACATTTACGTCATTTGGTCTCTGATTGATAGCTGTTGCATCTGTTTTAATAAGTATATCGATGACCTAAAGGATCACATGGGAACTTAAATGAACTGTCAATCATATAAAACATGCTACAACTTTCTATCGATATGCCGTCATCAGGAATGTTTTAGTACCTAAAATTGAACGTAAATGTCACCCTTGTTTATGTTACTATAATTATCTGGCAATTAACACCACCCAGAAGCAAAATCTAAGAATGTATTCATAATTTTTATTGTAGTTTTAGCCGAACGCATAATCTTTAATACTGTTTTTAAAGAAATAATAAGTACTAACCATATTATCTATATACTTTAAGGATCGAAAGGAGATAAAGGAAACAAAGGATATCCCGGTAAGTAAAACAATATATAACATCTGAGCGTCACTGATGAGTCTTTTGTATAAGAAACGCGCGCCTAGCGTACACATTTGTTATCGTGGTATCTATAATGAGATGAGTTTATCATACACATATTTGGTCTTTGTCTTTTAATCTTTCTTTATTTTTTGCCATGTCGTTGTCCTTTTATTTTCAACTAATTAGTTTCCATATTCAATTGTTATCTTTTGCCTCTCTTTTGCAGTTTGTCTACTTACTTGGATTAGGCAAGAGTTATGTGTAACATTTTGTTGAATTATGGGGTATATTGGAAAAAAGTAAAATCACAAAAATACTGAACTCCGAGGAAAATTCAAAAAGGAAAGTCCCTAATCAAATGGCAAAATCAAAAGCTCAATGACATCATACGAATGGATAACAACTGTCATGTTCATGACTTGGTAGTGTATCTTCATTACATAAAACGAATTTATATTCACTTGATCTTACTTTTTTTTTTATAGGAAAAGATGGTAAGTATCAAATTTCGTATTAAAGATGTAATTCGAAACCCTAAAAAAAAGACAAAAAAAGGTAATAGTAGGTAAAAGCAAAACATGATCGTTCAATGAAATCTCTTCATGCATCTCGTTTCATGTTACATTGCATTTTAGGAGGCACTTATTGGAATTTCAACTCAAAACCATATATTGCGTTAAGTAAAATAACAGATATGATATGTTACGGTTCTTTATTGTCTCGATACTTATATTTTGACATTGCACAAGATAATGTTGGTCTCTGAATGTTTTTGACATTTTTACTCTACATTCATTGGATATGTTACGCTTGTATTGCCGGTCTTAAGAAGACACTCTCAAACAACAGTAACTTTTTAAACTGTTAATATATTAATAAATTGTTAAATAAAAATATAAAATATTAATAACGTTTATATTCAATGAAATACAAATTAATAGGATGATTTATTGAAAAAAGAATTATATCATTTATTTTCAGTAAATTTCTCTTCTTATCATATTTTCAGGGAAATATGATGTACGTGTCCATTTGTATGGGAAGAATGGAAAGATAAGAAAAATAGACCAAGCTAGTAAATACTTAATAATTTTATAAAACCAATAAGAGTAAACGTATATGCCAATCTTTATTTTGGGAAAACATCATTTATTTATTTGTTAATGGCTTTGAACTACTCTTGTAACTACGAGTACATTTATATCAGTATTTTGTGTCTAATGTTTTATGTTAGTTTGTTGTAACTTGCGTGTGTTTCGTACCGATCCAATGATTTAGATCTTTTGCAACTGATTTTCAATGTTTGTTCGTTTGCTGCGCTGTATTTGTTTTTCATAAATTGTATTGTACAAATTATGTCTCAGTTTTCTCTTTTGAATTGTTTCACAGTTTTCATGTCGAGGCATTTTATAGCTACATGTTACTATAATGGAATTTTCTCATTGTTGAAGACCATACAGTGACCTTTGATTGCTTTTGCTTTTTATCGTTTTTGTTGGAACTCTGATTTTTGTCTCATTTGCAATCATACAACACCTCCTTAATTTTGTATTATGAAGGATGTTCCTTCAATGTTGATTTTAAAAGTATGAGAAATGTTCAAAAAGGGGCTGATGTCATTTGTATGTGATGAGTTATTAGATACAGTCATGACGCCTTCCATTAAAAAAAAACTCCAAGTAATTCGGCATATTCATACTGATAAGTAGGTTTTGTTCTTCGTATTGATAGATTTAATTGTAAAATACCAACAAATCACAAGAGTCGTGTATTAAACACACGTTTCGAAAGGTTTAAATTACTCAAGTGAGCGGCCATAGTCATGAAGATAAGAAAAACCGTATGTGATCTCCTTTTGTTGTGTTTTTTTCCCTAAAGTTTACACACACATTACATCTGTTTAATACATTTTTTAAAACTTTTGTTTACCTTATGATTCAATCCCATTCTTATCTTATTTCGTTCTTTTTTCAGGAAAATATAAAATAAAGAGTGCTGTAAAAGCTTTTATTTATAACAAAAATAAACATCCAGGGACAAAACAAACGCCAAGGTACTACAGATATGCCTATTGGAATAAGGAAAGACAACAACCTTAAAAAGTGACTCGTTAATGGAAGTTAACTATCCGTATTTGCCTGTTACTCATCGTTATGAAGAGAAGATGAAGGGATTTGTTAACTTATCATATTGAGTAAACTATTTAATTGTTAAAAATCACAATAATAAATGCATCGTAATATAAAAGAAGTAGTTTTTTTTTCTAATTTCTAAATGACAAAAAAGATTTATATGGTATATGTATCTGTTTGATTGATTGATTGTTGGTTGCTTAACGTCCAGTGGCAAATATTTAATGCATGCTCAATACAATGTAAATTCTTGAGAAATAAAAACTAATTTTTTGCTTAATCGTTTATACAAGTAAGGAATTAAAACAGAAACAGCTAAAATCTACCATCTAAACACAATTCTCTAAATACCCAAAACTCATTGTGACATGCACATGAAAGTGTGGCAAAGTTCACGAAGTAAGACTTTTTTAACAGAAAGTATAAATTAGATAATGTTGAGATAAACCAGTTTTCATCTAACAACAAAGCAAAATAAGTAATCTCTTGATTTATTCAAAACTTATAGAATATTGCATGGGAAATTATGGGCATAAAAATCAATGTCACAGCATCCTTACAACACGAGTTTAAAAGATCGCACAATCGACAAACGATGGCAATTATTTTCCAATAAGAGAAAGGCGAAAGATACTAGAGGAACATTAAAAGAAACCCTCATATATCGAAAACGAACTAACAACGCCAATATATGCATATTAATCACACACGACTTTGAATCAGACTTAAAAGCGATAGTGTAAATCGAAAAAAGACATGATGATTTTTCTTTCCCGATTGTTACTTTTCCTTTTCTGGACGGTGATGTTCCTCGGGCACCATCTTACGGTGTTTAAATATCCCAACTCATTCGGTATGCCCGTGTCTGTAGTGACGTTTTGGATTTCAATGAGCGTAATCTATGTATTACTGGTAAATTATTAAGTCAGGGATTTCGTTACCACACATTACTTAAAACCTTTACTAAATGTTTTCAAAGATACAAAAATTTGGTTTGTATGTTTGGATGTTCCTGTAAAAAAATGTACTTCAGACGGAATAGGACATCCTTAATTTCTCGGTGATGTTGTTTACCAAGCCCAGAACTTGATATACGATCCGGGTAAACTTATCAATCCTTTAGATAAACTTATTTTTAAAGGTTACCAATTCAAAGCTGTAATTAGATCTTTGAATATTGTTTTTACTGGTATAAATAATGATTTTGTTATCAGTCAATCAAAACCATACTAATAGTTTTATTATATATGTATGCAATTTAACGGTACTATAATCTGTCAATCGTTTGGCATTTTGACATTGCAGATATTTTCTGGCATTTAATGACGCCTTTACACTTAATCCTTTGGATGTTGGATGTGTACTGATATTTTAGTCTTAGATACATGACTTTTTTTATTAGTTTTTATTGGCTTTGAACTAACTGTCAGTAACTGCGAGTACTCTCAGATCTTTACTTAGTGCCGTTTTTGTTGTTAGGGAGGAGGGATGCATAAATATCCTGCCATGTCCGGTCTGTGTTTGTTTGATGTTGTTTTCTGCTTTGTATTGATCTAATGAGTTAAGCCTTTTTTAACTGAACTCTATCCAATGCAAACAGTCATGGTATCAAAATTTAAGAATGTATTTACCTTTGAACTGAGGAAAATTCTACTGCTTTGATAATTTTTAATAATCTTATTGAAATATATTCAATATGAGAATGGCAGTATGCTTTTATCAATGTGAAAATTGCATCGGGATAGGATTGAGGGAAAATTGCATTTTCCTGGATATTTGATTTCGTGGTTTTGCCAAAATCTGTATAAATGCCAATAGAAAATATATTCTTCGTTGAGCATTTAATTTCGTGGTTTACCTATACCAACGAAATCCACAAAAATTGGTACCCAACGGATGATAATGAATCCACAGTATATAAGAACAACAAAGTTTGAATCATCCAGAATGGCTGATAACTACGGAGAACTCTCATTGATTTTTTTTTTTACAATTGCAGTTTGAGCTATATGAACTGGTATCACTTAGCGTCTGTCATCTGTTGTCTGGCATAATCAGTTAATTAAAAAAAAAATCTTTTTCGAAACTATCTGACATATTTCAACTAAACTTAAACCACAGTCGTGCTTAAAAAATGTGTTCAGTGATCCAGCCTGCCATCAAGCATGACAAACATAACTAAAAATAAAACATCGCGGTATTGTCTATTATCTTGAAACCCTTGTAAATTAAAGATAGGGAAAATCTTACAATTGCAGATTCTGAAATGTTAAAAATGTCAAAATCTAAATACCATGCATTTTGTAAAAATATTGTCAGACGATCTTTTATAGGAGTTATTGCCATAAATGATGATTTTTGCCAATATGTTGCATTTTTGCCTGTTTTTTTTTAATCTTTTATTGTAGTAACTTTAAAACTACCAGCTGACAAGATCTACAAATATGTCACCATAGATGGAATCCTTGTTGAACTTTTGTTAGTCCAGTCTCCATGATGAAATTTTAAATTTACAGGCCCTGAGCTCATATTTTTGAAAATTTGAGTTAGATTCTGTTGGCCTGTAGAAATAATGTCCGAAAACAATTTTACAAGACTGTGCTGCTAGGCCTGTGGCTAAGCATGAAAACTGTTAGTTCAATAGAACTTTTCCACGTGTTATTTGCCTTATTAATGTCTCAAAATTTTAATCACAGACTGTTAAGCGTTAATGTTACATTTTGAATGCAAATAAATAATTCCAAAATCAGTAACATGAAAGTATAGTGCATTTACAAATATTTTACACGACAAATACTTACAGAAAGTTGGTTTGACTTTGACATCCTTAGCGATTGCATTACATTTCCTTCCTTTTGGATATGAAATACTGAACTGAGGTCTTCCCTGTGATGTCATGGACTGACTCCTACTATTAAAATATATGTTGGATTACAAATCATGAGGGTAGAATCCCATTATTTCATATAAACAATTTGAAGTTGGCTTCTCATGTATAAGCATGAAAATCAGACAGAAACATAATATATTTTCCAAATCATAAATACATGTATATCTTTGTCGAGAATCTAAGAAAAACAGGCATACAAATACTAAAAAAGGTACTGTGTGTCTTTTGTCTTCTTTTCATTTGGTTGTATTTTCTGCTATGTGCCGATCTCATGAGTCAAGCCCTTATATAACTGTCTGTTTTTATACCTTGTATTTGTTAGATTAGGCAGGGGGTGTTAAGGGTGTTTACCACTCACAAACATGATCAATTAGTATATGACTGTCTTTAGCCATGAGCCTGTAATTCACTGGTTAATAGTCAACTGTAGTCTGTCATATTTGACTTTAGTATATAAAGTTGCCCTTTTGTCACAGCAACTGAGGAAATGATGTTTACCCAATTATGAAAACATAAGATTTAGTCAATCAACCATTAAACAGTGCGTAAAATGACGTAAAATCTAATGAATCTGGTCTATATGTTTGTTAGAATACAATTTGTGTAGTATGCATGTACTTGTAACTTGGTAAAAGTATGCTAAAAAAGAATGAAAAATACGCGTTATAAATTTCATGCGTCCAAAGCGCCTTTCTGAATTTACCTTCATCAGGAACGCTCAAATCCGAATATGTGAAAGCCAAAGATGTATAAAAATAGAAACAATTGAAGGGTTATATAGCCAAACCAAAGTAGTCAATTTTTTTACAAACCTTGCCCTCATCTGCCAGAAGAAAACATGTGTTGAAGATTGATGCCAGATAGCAAAAAAAGTTGTAGAACGATTCCAACCTAGATGTCTGTTCTGTTGGAGATAACCTCTTCATGTCTTTTAACACAACATTTGCCCACAGATTACTTTCTCAAGTTCTTTTTACACAGCTGATTCAATATTAAAAATAAAACTGTTAATATTTATTAACAGTATTGTCATTCATATTTGAATACATGTACTTCCTTTTGCAGATGTATTAGATCTATAAGAAAGAAGCACTCAATTCTTTAAATAGTATTTTGATTGAATTAAAACAGGAAACAAACAGTTATTTCTTTTTAATATCCCCACAAAATTTGTCAAGCCTAGGTCCTCATTTCTTTCATTGATGAGTATTTATTGAGAAATCCAAAAAAATTATACCAACATGCAGGTGTCTGTGACGTCATCATTAAAGAATCCTTTATCATAAAAAAAAAATATGCATAATGCTTAATGCTGCTGCTGAGCTACATGTTTTAATATACGTTATACTTTTATATACGTTTATATGATTGGTCGAGAGGGCTTCCAGTAGTGTATCTTGAAGCAGGAACATATATATTGACATATACTGTTCCCAGCTTGAAGTTATCTATGTTTGGATAAACGACGTTGACGACTACTTTTTTTTACCAATGTAAACAAGATGGCGGCGATAATAACACAAACGGGCTGAACGTTTAAAAAATCTATTTTCACTTCGCTTTCATCGTTGAATTAAATAATAAACACAAAACATTCATTTGAATGATAATAAAATATTTTTGTAGCTATTTTTTCAGCAGAAAGCAAATTTCATGGAATACATTTTTTTTCGTTATCCAAAAGATATATTCATGGGCAAGGCCAATTCAATGACACACATATACAATTTACGCGTGATAGAGGTTACGGATGGGGAAATTAAGTTTACTATATCCAATTTTAAAGAATTAGAAGGATTAACATTTTTTTTGAAGGAATTAATTGGTGTATAAACTAGACCAAGTCAATTACAAACATATCATAAAAATCTTTTTATTTGTTTGTGAATGAATTAGTTCAGTTTATACACCATTACAAACCTGTTCGTGCATTTTTCATTGTTATTCAATGCAAAATAATTATCTAAAATACCTGGGACGATCTCATTTTTCATAAACAATCTCTTTTGTTTACTTATTGTACCTCAAACTTATTAACCCGGTGTAGGTCTTTAAATTGAGGTTCAATTTACTTAAAGTTAATCGGGCATGACTAATTAGACACACCCTCTCAGAATCAGGGGGTCCAAAATAGGATCGGGAAAAAAGCCAGCGAAATACCACAATTTACAATTTCAGAGAATCCACGTGCTTTTGATTGATTATCTC